CCACCACAGCCACCAGCCCCAGCACAGTGCTGCTGCTGGGCCAGGGCTGCTGGCAGCGCTGGGATGGGGCCAGGGCCTCCGCAGGTCCACGGCCCCAGGCCAGCAGTGGCACTGGGCTGGGGCCAGCGGCTGGGGGGGGGGGGGGTGGGGGCGGGGCCCTCCCAGCGGCTGTGGTGGTGAGGGCTGGGGCCGGGCCCATCGGCAACACGTGGCCGGGCCCGGGGCTGTTAGCAGCACCAGGACAGCCCCAGCCCGGCGGCAGCACTGGGCTGGGGCCAGCCGTGGTGCTGATGCCAGCTGGGGCCGGGTGCAGGCAGGGCCAGGGCCTGCCAGCAGTGCAGGGTTGGGGCCGGGGACATCGGGGCACCAACAGCCCCCAGCTCAGAGGGGGCACTGGGCTGGGGCTGGGCCAGTGGTGGTGTCGGGTTGGGTCTGGGGCCCGAGCAGGGTTGGGGCCGGGGGCTCTTACCTGGCTGGGGTCGGTGGCAGCGCAAGGCTGTTCCTGGGCAGCCACATGCTGCTCCATCTGGGCACAGCTCTTCCTGCCCCTCGGGGCAGTAAGCAGTCTGAGTGCCAATCAAAAGCATGTCACGTGCCACCTTTGGCAGATGTGCCATAGGTTGCCACCCCCTGCTATAGAAGATGATTACTTTCTTCTGCATTATAGGCTTTCCTGGGTAACAGACAAAAGTGAAAGAGGTTTATTTGCTTTCATGTTATCTATCCCTTCAAACCCAATGGAACAAAAGTGTTAAATGTCCTATCAGCAATTGTATTACTTGTCACAAGCTGTGCTCCAGCATCCATAAGATTCCTTGACCAGTTATTAATTCATAAATGAGCTCAGTCCAAAAATGTACCACAGATATGTAAAGTTTCATGTTACTGTTTGGTCAGCATCTCCTGGCTACTCTGGTTATTGGATCTGACTAGCTGAAGGAGGGCAGATGTATCATAGGCTATTACAGCTCTCCAAACCATCCAAACAAGAGGCTTCCAGATCACCTGACAAGGCCTATATGCAATGAGCAAAATTCTGGGAATCTCTTTACTTTCACAGAGGAATAAACACTAACACTGGTAATTTTATACATCAAAACATAGGCTTGTAGGCAAACTAAGCATTTGTTATGTTATTTTAAAACAAGATATAACCAAACCCGCCTCCAAAAGAAAAAGGAAAAACCAAATCTGACTGAAAGCTAGAAAAGTTAGAGGACAGAAATTAACATTTGAATATAGATGAAGCAAATGTTGATGGAGAGAGAAAAGTTTCTTGTATTCCAGGAAGGAGTTATAAATAATGGAAAGGAGAATCTTTACAGTTATTCAGCAGCCTAATGACAGAGACTGTGCCTGCAACAAAACAGAATGTCAGCCTTTCTTATAGCTGTTAATATTTCAAATGCTGGAATTCATTTCACAATTTACTGCACAAGGCTATGTAAAAATTAACAAAAAAAATCATAAAAACAGCCAGTCATATTTTTTATTTTCCTGATCTATTTAAAGACATGCAACATTATTTCTTAATGAACAGAGAAAAAAACAAACAAATTTCATCTCCTTAGAATCAGACTGAGTTAGCCTGTGTGTTTCAGAGAAAAACTTTTTTCTAAACAGACTCACCCCTCACGCCTCGATTTCCATTTTACTCACCAGTTTCACACTAACTACCAGCATTAGACAGAACTTCAAACTGTTGTCTTATCCTCTGAATTGGTGATACAGATAAATGAAAAAAACAATATCAGATATTCCATTCTTTCTCTCTGGAATTCAGAAGCCAACTTTCTTTCTTGTTACCAGGGAAACAAAACCCGTTAAAATTCTTGGGCATCTTCTAACATATTGAAGAGAGTTGCTTTTTTCCTCTGGTATGGAAGAAATATGATTTGAAATTAGTAGAACATTGAAAGAGACAGTGGATATTAATATATGGATGTTTTCCATATATTCTGAAATTATTCCTAAAAATCTTTGAAGGGAAGAGTATCACAGATCTTACCACCTATGGCCCCATCCTGGAGAAAGGTTAAGGTTTTGTTTTACTCATGTATTTGTTTGGGGTAAATATTCTTGTTTGTATTAAGAGGACTGGCTGAGGTGCTCCTAGGAGAACAAAACCAGCCTGCAAGGCAACAGGCACCACAAGCTTGAGTGTAACCTCTGCCAGGGCCTTAAGTTAAACTTAATTCCAACACAGGATCTGTGTTAGATATACAGGTCTAGCCTTACTAAGAACAACATGGGAAACTGAAAGGCATTTCCTCAGATGCATTTTAAACCGATTTTTCACTCACGAAAATGTAAGGATTATACTACAGCTAGACAACTCAGGCTTCCATGCCTACCTACAGTATTAAGATTTTAAAAAAGAGGAATCAGAGTAAAGGAGAGGGGCTAAGACTAAGTAGATCTAGCCAGCTAGTAACTGTCACACAGAACACTAAGGAAGCACTGACAACAGTTCATTGGGATGATAGGCAGATGTCAAAATGAGGGATCCGGCAACTGAAGGCAAGGGGAATTTGTGGTTTCCACGAATACCAGGTCACCCTCTATGCAGATGTGCACAGTAGTACAGTCTCCAGTGCAATTCAATCTGTCAGCTTCACAAAAACTAATGTACAGAGGAAGTACTTTAAAATTGGTATCAGAGACAAAATCATGGAAAGTCACGTTCTCTTTGGATAATATTTGCATATGGGTACATTTGTGCATGTTACTCATTTCCTATAAAGACAAAGCAGAGCAAGGTGTGCCTGATTTACATAGGAGGATGTTGTGAACTCAACTAAGCAGACACTAAAAGAAATTAGATAACACTCGGTTTTTGAAGACTGGAGATGCATTTAGCTTTAAAAATACCACTATAATACAATAACTGATAACCATAACTGTGTGCAAGCTCTGCAAATGTAGATAAGTTAAACAGCCAAATAAAAAGAAGGCAAAGCTCCAAGATGAAGAAGTTGTTTCAATGTTTCAGTGTGACAAGTTTATATATTCTCCAGAAACAACCCAGTGATGATAAAGGCAGTTGCTGGGTTTCATTACAAGTACCTTAACTTGCCACTTAACATGGAACAACTGGTGAAGAGGAGAATCGAAAGAGCAAACCAGGATTCCTTCGTTCTCTCCTGTTTCACTGCGGTGCAAAGAAAGTGGCTCTGCATGCTCCATACCTCTTAACAGAAATCTTGTCATAATGTCTTCACAGAGGCCTCCAAAAGGCTTAAAATAGGGTGGCAGCTACTACCACTCACACATTCACATCTTTTGACTGTTCTACCCAGATATTTAAGGGGAAAAGAGTTCTTGGACCCATACGTTTGGGTTCCCAAGGGCTGGGGGAAGAGGGCATGATGAGGGGTAGCAGCAGATAAAGGAGTGAGGACACAGCTGGTTGTCAACAATATAGCTTTTGTTGAACAAGCAGTGAGTGTAAAGCTGCACACTGATTAAAAAGTGCCAGCAGAAAAAAAAGGGGCAGTTGAGTTCTGACTGTATACCAAAATGGCCAGTTGCAGCAGCTGGGGTGGGGGTTGGGATGGGGGGAAAATGAGGAGCTATGTAGTGCGAGCTGCCTGGAGGACCAACCTGACTCATGTCACAGAATGTCTGATGTCTACCGAAGTGAACGAGTGCACTGTGAACTGGTTCAAAAACAAACAAGAAGAAAACCTTATATGGCAAGTATACGTTTGAAACTTTCCAGGAGGCTTTAAACTAGTTTTAAAGGCTTCTATGCCTGTCCATGTCAGGTTTAAATGACATTTAAACCGGTCTGTGTTACATGTGTCTATGCCCATAGGAAAAATAGCTTTCTTGGGACCAAAGACAAATAAGTTAGTTCTACAGATGCTACATTTTGGCACTTCTACCCCCTTATGAAAAGGAGATAAATCAGCCTTTACAAACATCATTCTTCTGATCAGTGGTGAGGATTAATGTGCCAAATGATCTGGATAGCATATTAATGCAACCAAAGCAGTATTCTCCCATGCCTTCAGCAGCTCAGAAGTGATTTAACAAACCCCTAGTGCCTGCCTCGATTTCAACATATGAACTGTAAACCAGAAAGGAAGTGACTCTCCCAGAACTTTCTACCCCACATCAAGTAGAAATGGAGCAGTAGGCTCATCTTCTGCAGGCTGATAGTCTGCTTCTTTTCATACAGGGATATAATTTGAAAATACTACAACTAGAGATAAACAAGGAGTCCCTTTAAGTTATCTTTCTATTGATAAAACTTATCTTGCAAACTCTGCCTCATACTACCATCGTGCTTATTTACTAGGCAAGGTAGTGCTACCTTCCACCACAAGTTGAACCTTATTTTTCTTATACAATGACTTGCAACTGTCACAGAGTCAAACTCATTTAGCCTTCTTTGGTTGTTGGGTTTCTGGGGGTTTTTTGGTGTTGTTTAAAAAAAAGTAAAAGTTTCTGAAGAGCTGAATTGCAGCCTCATTTTTCATTAGCTCCAACTGAGAGCATCTTCTTACTAATCCATGTTTGATGTTTCAAAGGGTAAGGTCTCAACACCAAACTGGCAGGGTCAACACTCATGATTTGAAATAATGCCAATCCTCATCAATTACAATGGAAGTGAGACTTGAGTTTCTTAAGCTTCAACAGCCTTGAGCAATTTAGAACAGAAAACAGTCTAAAAAGAGCTTTTGACTAAATCTAATTACAGTCAATTAACTAGCTGACAGTGAAGTATAAAACTCACTTTTGTCCACAGATGCTGATGTTTAACACAAAGCTCAGCACCTTTGCACTCTCACTAATCAATGACCATTAACTGTAATTGACCCTTAATAAGGCCATGATCAGCATCTGGCTATAAAAAGTCTGTTTATAAACCTTTTGGTGCCAATCACCCCATTACTGGTCACAAACTCCAGCTATCCCTGCCCATCTATATTCCCCACCCCCCCCCAATACCAAGTTCCAGATCATATTTTCCAAGTGTTGCAATTCTTTCCTACCTGTGCATTACAGTTGCCCAGGATCATGATATCTCTTCTCAGAATATCATTAAGGAACACACACAGCTGCTGTTCAAATTTATCTGCAGATGTATCATTACTCTGGTAGGTGTTGGTAGGACTGCAGACAACAAAGATACTATGACGCTTGCAGCTGAATCAAACACTAACGGATTACACAGTAATCACCAGTCAACCCTGCAATGCCAGCTGGGTATTACATGAAAGTACAAAGGCCATTTTTTTGTTCAAGGTTCCTGAGAAAAAAAATCCCACCCTCCCCCACCCGCTTGCTACTTTGTGTATCCTTTTGCATCCTTTGTGTATGTACAGATAGCAATGTTCTACCTTTTCAACAGTCTAACAAGGAGGGCAACTTTAGCTGTTTTAGAAAGAATTCATGCATTTGTTACCAGTGCAAAAAGATCCTGGGATGGCCTTCTGATCAGCTTTTCTTCGTCATTTTCATCTGTCTGGCAGAGAGAAACTCAGTTGTTTTAGTCATATGCACAGTTCACCAAATTGTTGCAAGTGGTCAACTTTGGTAGGGACACCATCACGGTGCAAAGGTACTGAACCCAGAATAGTGTGTTATATTTTATTTGCCTGAAATACATTCTAAAATGGTACCAGACAAACAGGATAGCCCCCTGTGCCAAATGAAAAAAGGTGAACCCAGATAAGTAAATAAACAAAAAAACTTCAATATCCCTGTCACAGGAAAAGACTACTAAATGTGCTATAACCTCCTTAAGATCACTGGATAGGTATGCTGTTATTTGGAACCTATATTAAAATCACAGGTTCAAAAGTCTGCATAGAAACTAACGTGCAGTTATTCTTTTTAATCAATGGCAGCACAAAACAGGTAGGCACAAAGACAATCTGTGCTCTACACCACCATATGCGTGTGCACTTATAGATACCATGGAAGGCTGTATCCTGCAGCTAATGTGCAGGCTTATCTCATACAGACTTCAGAAGGAATTCTACATGCCTAATGATGGCATATAGAAATAATTTAAGAAAGGAAAAGTCTGAAAACTCTTAATTCACCTATGATTTTAAAAAAGAAAAACTTTGTGCTAATGGAAGTCAGTGTGAATTTATAATTAATCTATCCACCAATCTCTCTCATTCCCAAAACCTTGCTACCAAACAAGATTATTGTTCTAAACAGTTGCACCATGTAACATTTTAAAGAGAAAAAACAAATTATTTGACTGAAAACTGAACATTCAATTTAACAAGCCTATGGAGTATGTATATAAGCTAATTTTGATCATGAAAAATTGCTTTAATATTAGTCAATGGCCTCAGTTAAATTACAGCACTAATGAAGATTTAATTTTATAAAATTGAACCCTCCAAGGCAAGGTAGCATCCTCAGCGATTGAATAACAAAACTAGACAGGCAGTCTCTGTGTTCTGAAGAATATAAGCTATGTGATCCAGGGAAACTGAGGTTATACAGACAAGATAAAAACATAAATCACTCACTTCATAAATGTTGACAGAAGACTGCTGACCCTTTATCATGAGTCACATGTCAAATAAAGTCATTGGCTAAAACAAATTGAATAGTGAAGAACAGCCATATCATGACTAGTGTAATGGGGGGAAAACAGATTTGTAGCTCCACAATTAGGAGAAAGAAGAAATATCAAAAAACCCAACTCCCTCCCTATCCCCTGAACCTCCCTCTCTCCACAATTTCCATCTCTCTTTCTCTCTGCCCCCCACCCACTGGCTCTCTTTTTTTGTTGTTGTTTAGCAAACTGAAATGAAATACCGTACCTAAGCAAAAAGAACTATTGCAAGATTAACCGATATTTATAGCCCATGCTCCTGTTCTATCTACTTATACATTTTACTATTTTCTTCTCAAACTTTATTAGTCTTCTCTCATCATGAAACTGTGCTGTTGGGGCAGCAGGGCCAATTTCCAATTCTGTTTTCTAGCAGTTCCTAACACAATAGTACTCTAAGCACTACTATACATAACAATAATGAACCTTAGGGAAGGAAAACATCAACATCAAAATGACCCTAAGTTAGTATAATTGTCTATTACTGCAAGCTAGGGACTTTTGACAAAGCTATAAAAACATTGCTTAGGTATTTCTTGTATGGGGACCAATTCTTTTATTCTAGCTGTGCACTGACTACAGTTACAGCTGATTTGAATTTTTTCCTGACACTTTGTTTTCTCTTCAATAGGTCCAGTACACAGCAGTTCAGCTTCCTTGATCAACTATATTGCTGTCCATCAGGCTGCACCATTAACCATTATTTGGTCTTGCCAAGTTTTTTCCATTAAAGAATGCTTACTTGAATCAGATACAGGTATATATTCAGTGCATTCCAATTTATTTGCAAAAAAATATAAACACAGTCCTGGTCCCCTGAACACAACAGAAACAAACAACAGAAGGCAATTTCTTTGCTTACAATTTCTAAGCCCATCTTTCCAGACAGTAAAAAGGGCTTAGACAGTCTCAGCATTGCCTCTGTATCACCCTCAGAGTGGTTCTCATGCCGTTTGCCTGCTTTCATACAGACAGGGAGAGGTAGTTAGCCATATTAGTCTGGAGTCAGGAAGAAGGCAGGGTAGAATCGCACTGGGGTATCAAACATACAGCCCATGAGCCAGATCTGACCCACGGGCCAGGGACAGACACTACACATAAACTGGTTTAAGTGATCAGAAACTGGCTTCAACCAGTTTCAAAATGGCTGAAACAGGTTTGAGATAAACCTGGCTGAATGTAGTACCAGACTTAACTGATTTGGCTGAAACGGGTTTATGCATTGTCTGTCCCAGACCCTTTGCTGGTTTGAGTTAAATCAAAGAACCCCAGCATCCCTGCATGCTCTCTGGGCTGGACAGGGCTCTCTGCTCCAGCCCAGCCAAGCTGGTCCTGCCCCTCAGCTCCCCAGCCCAAGAGAAAACAGTCAGAGGTGGAGGTCTGGACAGAGAGGGGGTTAATTCCACCTCTCCCTGTGCCACCAGCAGGGACCGGAGCTGCGTTTGCCCGGCACTCCCCGCTCTCTCCCTGCCCAAAATAGGCCCCCAGATGTCCCCTCTGCCAAAGGCTGGAGGGAGGAGGAATAACCCCGTCCCTGCCTGACCGTGCCTCCTTTCTACCGCTGCAGCAGGAGGTGGCAGGGCCCTTATTGGGGGCAACAGCCCCTGTCATACTGTGAGGGAGCATGAGCCCCTTCCCAGTGAGGGGCAGAGCTGTGGCCAGCTGCACGCAGCAGCACCGGAGTCCCAAGTGGGCCAGAGCCCTGCAAGCCCCCCACAGCACTGCACAGCAGAGCCCCCACTGGGAAGGGGTGGTGACGGGCTACTGTCCCTCACGGTTACTCACCGATCACTGCTCCAGCTGCCAGGCAGAGCCAGGCCCGGCCCCTGCCACTGTTCTGTGCTCAGGGCAAGCCCCCTCCCGGCAGGAAGGGGCTTACTCAGCCACTGGCACCGGAGCGCAGTTTGCGTGGCCAGGCTGCAGCTGCCCCCGCTCTCTGCTGGGACCGGCGGGGCGGCCCCTGCCACTGCTCTCTGCTGGCACCAGTGACCGAATAAGCACCCTCCGGCCGGGAGGGAGCTGGCCGCAGCACACAGCAGTGGTGGCTAGAGCCTGGCTTGGCAGACTGTGCTCCAGTGCCAGTGGCTGAATAAGGCCC